TAGCTTTTCTTTGGTCTGAACCAGGAGCTGCTTTAACTCCTTCTTCTCACTCACTCAATTTTTTTAAAGGGATGTTTGAGAAAAGCTGGACAGTATAACACACTTATATGACTGTGTCTGGACTAACTGAACCTTAATATTTAACATAAATCAACTAATTTGACAGGTTTTATTTGTGTGGCAAGTTAGAGATACACTTTCAGAAACCATCGGGCACGTTGTGTTTATTTCATAACAAAAGCCTCTGCCCAGAAAATATCATATGCAATATTAGGAAATTGAGTATTATTTAGAAATGTCAAGTACTTTTGCCCTAGGTCCCTGCTAATTAGTGAACTTATATTATAGCAAAATAAAAAGTATCTGTTTACATATGTTTGCATTGTCAGTTGCAGCCTCAGGTAATGTCAACAAATGAGGTGGGAAGCTAATGAGCTTAATCTAAGGCTGTTAAAACACACATCTTTACATTAGGGTAAAGCAGAGGTTTCTCCTGTGACAAAGTAAAAAAAAGCAAAAGGCCTGTATTTCCTAACTGACTGGATTTGGGTAATTTGAGCCAAGTAACCCCATTTAGCTAATTTCATTTCACTTTCTCCCACAGCGATAGCATCTAGTACTTCCTGTTTTTATGACAAGCTGAAAAGGCAATCAGATGGTAGGAGGCACTATTGTTGAAGCTCTTTCTAGCTCCAAAGCCCATTTTAGGTGGTGGAATACTACAGAAATGCCAAAAATGTTTGCTGCCTGTTATGTTGCCATGTTGCCCACATGCTCGCTCCTCCACCAAGGCCTTTCTTGTTTGACCTGAGACTGGCTGGACAAAGCATTGAATGTGGAGCTTTGTTATGATTTGGTACTGTGCCATTCCCATCCTTTGACATTTGAGCTATTTTTTTCCCTTCACAGAAAATCCCTCACAATGGCTGGTGGGCAGGGTCAAAATATGCCCCCTGGTGCAGTGAGCAAAACTCAACTTAAACACAACACCAGTGTGCTGCTCGACCAGATGAACTGGTTCTATTATCACCATGATCGTTGTGAATAGTAGACCCCTCCTCCGTCCATTGTAAGGCACAACAAGTGTGATAACAGTGCAAGAGAAGACAGAATAAACACAAAAACAGGTGTATATTCTATAGTTGTTATTCCGCTACTGTGGGCTGAGCCCAACCCTCCCCGAACACTTGTTTTTCTCAATGTTTGCAGCAGTGTGGCAGAATATTATTGTATTGTATTGTATGTTTTTTTTTAATTGTGTTTTGCTGGATCATAAAACACATAATGGTTTTTTTTATTGTGTTTTGCTGGATCATAAAACACAAATTAAAAACTGAAAAATTGTAATAATGTACTGAAGATATATTGTACTGTAACAAAGTTTTTATAAGATTAATATATTTAGTATACCATGTAATATGTTGTTCAAACATGTATTAAATAAAAGCAATAAAGAAATTAACTGGTTCATGGATTGGGGAAGTTGTACCCACTGATTGTAGGTCCTAATGTGTGGGGCATTGATACATTTGTTCTGGGTAGAGAGTCTGTTCTCCAGCTACAAGGAAATGGCTCCACCCATGACTTCTTTCCGTAGTAGGGCTACAATCCAATCCAAATACCCTCAAAATCATCAATTAAATGTGCCCAAACAACCCAGGGTGGCTTGAAAAATTTAGTTTTAGAGAATTAGCTTCTAGTTCTACTCAATTTGCTTTAATTACTTAAAAATCTGCAAACATGATGTGTATCCCCTAGTAAATGTATATGCTATGTACAGTACTGATACAGTAGTTGAACAAAAATAACAATTGCACGATAATAAGAGGTTAAAATGGAGAACATGTGTAAGACATGGAGGTAGGACAAGTATGTGGGGAGAAAGCAGCACAGAACAAATGAGAAGGGTTAAATGTAAAAACAGACAGACATTTGAGCCACTGACAAAGGAAGCCTGAGGTTTTGAAGAGTTGTTTTAAAGGAGCTGACAGGGTCAGGTTGCTGGTTAAGGAGGCATGGAGAGTCCAGGAGAGCCATCAGGGACTCAGCGGAGCGCTCATGTCACGCACAGACCCTGAAAACAAGAGGGGGGAAGTGCTGTAGGCCCACGGTCATGACTCCAGAGTCAACAGGGCAACTCCATCTGCCCTCCACTGGACAGCCTCCTAATCCCATCTGATTTACAATTAGTCCTGCCAAAAAGTTTCTGACCTGCAGGCTCAGCCAGGGACAAATGGAACAGATTGACAAGATGTTTCCTCTCTCAACCTTCTCACTTTCAGTCAGGATGAGATACAACAGACTCCTAAAATGTTTTTGGCCTGCAGAACCCACATGGTCAGTTTGCGTTTGGGAGGACACTGCTCTGCCAGTTTTCCTGCAGGAACAGCACATTTCAGTTTTTCTTTTTCTGTTTTGTGATTTTCATGCAACAGTCCTGTTTCGAGTTCCATTTTGTGTTACATATTTCTGTTTTCGGATGAGTAACATCTGATCTAATGAAATCCAAATGGTACAGACCATGAAATATTCTGTGTGTGGATTTTTTTAGATGTGGAAAATTGATTGTTGCTGGAGAGGAAAACAAGTAATAGGGGTTTTAAAAGCATTAGGGTAATTTTCAGGGCAATTATCTTTCATTTTCTCTGTATTTT